GTCTTACCTATCCTCACCCCTCCCTTGTGTGCTCTCGCTTTTATCATGTGCTCAAAGTCCAATCACCTTGTTGTGTTTGCCCTTGATCTAATGTCCACATATGAGGGAGAACATACGATTTTTGGTCTTTTGGGCCAGGCTAACCTCACTCAGAATGATGTTCTCCAATTCCATCCATTTACCAGCAAATGATAACATTTTGTTCTTCTTCATGGCTGCATAAAATTCCATTGTGTATACGTACCACATTTTCTTGATCCATTCCCAGGACGGAGTCTTAAAATCTTTTCCTCCACTGTCTGCCACAGCAGCACTGGCATTTTGCTCAATTATCAGAATAGGCTACCAGGAGCCATCCAACTAATTAGGGTAGAGTCCTTGATATGCTGTTAAACTCTTTTTCTTGGGAGAAAGTAGCTAAATTACAGTCTTCCTTATCCAACCTTCCGTTCTAACCTCTTTTATCAAACATCTTCAGAATTCAGTCCCACCCATCCTCCCCGACTCTGCTATCTGGAGCTCAGGTTCCTTTGTATTGTATACATATCCCCCCCTTTTCAGGCCCTGCATGCCCTGGCTGAGGCATCCTGTGACTTCTCCCCATTGTAGGCATTAGTGAGGAAAGACATGTGGGGGAAGAGGGGTGTAGAATCCTATGTAATTCCCTGACTCCTAGGGGAGAGACTTGTGGATTGTCTTCAAGAAAATGACTTTGCTAGCTCTTGATAGGGAAATAGACTGCTTTGAAGGCTCAAAACTTTCAAGGAAATGTTTGTATTTAAGACTTTCAGGGTATTCAACCCAGATATCTCCATCCTATGTGCCAGTATTACAGTCTTTCCCAATCAGGGCTTTGACCTTGGCACTACAGGTCTGTATGGCTGGGAGTTTAGCTTTGTAATTCTGCTTCTTTGATGATGAAGTCCTGAGCTTTATCTGCAGATTTCTCTGCTCCTCCATTGTAGTACATGGTGCAGAATATTCTTCATTCTACCAAATGGGTATTATGAAATTCACATGAGTCTTTCAATTGCTTTTAGTCTTTCCTTATCTATGGCTAGAATGTTAAATGAATTTAGCAATGAGCATCTAATTTCATCATCTTTTTGGTTAGTACTTATCATACTTTGTAAAGGTAAGCAGATGAATTTCACTAGTTAGGGCTTTCCTTTTAGTGTGTACCTTCAGCATTCCTCACTAGTGAAAGTTTTCACAACTGTTCTGTTACCTCTTACAACAAACTTATTTGTGGGAAGGGGAAGAGAAGCAGATACAAGCAGAGATAAGTCAACCTACAATGCAGACCCAATAGCCTCAGACAACCTCACAAGAAGTTCTAGAATACCATGACCAGTTACAGACTTTCCAAATTGGACAAAAATGCCTCAACCAGTCAGTGGATAAGGGCCATTCCCAGAAGAGCATGGCTTTGGGTAAGTTGACTTTCTGTAGCTGACACCAACAGGCCCTTCCTTGAAAAGAGTCTATTTATTTTCCCTTCGGTGGTACTGGAGATTGAACTCAAGGCCTAGTGCTCTACCACTTGAGCTGCACCCCCAGTTCTTTTCAGATAGGGTTTTGTGCTTTTTCCCAGGCTGGGTTTTGACTTCCCTTCTCCTGTTTCTGCCTCCCAAGAAGCTTGAATTACAGGCCTGGGCCCGTTGAAAGGGTTTTGAGTGGCATATCCATACTATTGGACAAAACAACTATCCATATGTTTGGAAATGGCAGTCAGTCATTCCTCATCCAGAAAAGGTTTGCCCTCCTCTGCAATGTACATTATTCATACTTCTGTGTGTCTGCAGCCCTTAATGTTATTAAAGAAATGAGAGATTATTTTTTAGTTTATTTAGCATGTTGTTAGGGCAAGAACAAAGAAGTTTCACAATTTCAACACCTTAACCTGTAATGAAATAGCTCTAAACTTTGACTTATTAATTTCACTTGTTTTATATTTCAGTTCTGGAATTTCCATTTAATTCTTCTGTGTAACATCTAGTCTGTGCTAAAATTTACCATCTTGTCATTTAATTGCTTGACTGAATTAATCATATCTATTTTAATATTCTATTCTGATAACTCTAATATCCAGATTTCTTGTCCAAATATTTGCCTTTTTTCCGTTTTGTTTTTTCTTTTCTATTATTACTTCTTTCTTTTCTCCCTTCATTTCTTTTTCTTTCTTATTTTTGCATGCCAGGTTACTTTTTATTTAATGTAAACATCATATGTGACATATTGCCAAGTTGAGGCTTTCAATGATGATATCTTGCTCAACATGGGATTTACTTTTGCTTTGGTGAGCAATTAGCTAATCACCTTCATGCCAACAGAGATTAAGTACAGAAAAACATTATTTTTTCTGAAGCTGGGAAGTTTGAAGCATCTACCCTTTGGTGCTGCCAACAGAATGCTTGAGGTGTTTACCAACTCTCTTCCTCCATCATGGGTCTATACTCCTACTGTCATACCCCTGACCCAAGAGGCTTCTAGAAGTTCTGCTCAGCTTTGTTCTCCCTGACTTTCAATTTTATACTCAACTCCCTAGCCTTGGAGCTGTCTTCTATTCAGCAAAAGCCTGGAGAGGAAATAATTACACAAATGTCAGCCTCAAGTACCACTTTCCCTTATGATGCATAGAATCTTGCCTCCTCAAGTACTCAGGGCCTTAGAGCTTCCTGAGGCCTTAGATGGTGTGTGTGAGTGTGTGTGTGTACTTACCCATGCATGTTAAATTGTGCTCAGCATTTTTATGCATTCTTGGAATCTAGCTGATCTAATACAAAATATTCCATCATTGCCAGAAACACAATTCCAAACTCTTGCTTTATCAAACTCATGTTTTCAGTATCTTTGTTCATAGCAGAAACCAGCTCTTGATTTCCTTCTGTCTCTAAGTTGTGCTTTCCATTTATGTCGTGCTCTGTTTGTCTTTGCATGAATGATTTCTCACTTTACCTTTTTTCTATGACATGTTTACAGGTCACTGCTTTGCTTCCTTTCATCTTAATTATGTTCTTAGACATGCTCTTAGATCTGACATAATGGGAATGATTTCTTGACTTTCTTCCCATTGTATCTGCACCCAGTTTGTTTGTTTGCTTTTTTCCTCCAAGTCTAATTTGAGAGCTGAGAATTTCTATCTACTATTTAAAAGCTGAGTGTCAAGGGGTGGGAGAGACTTTAGAGGAGGCCTGTGGAGTTGTTCATTCAACAAAGTTTTTTCATTGTCTACTATGTCCAAGGCACTATTCTAAGCTCTTGAGATTCATCTGTGAACAAACATACAAAATCCCTATCTTTGTGCCTTACATTTTATTGAGGGAGGCAGACAACACACACACTAGCAGTAGATGAGTACCATAGAAGGCGATAAATGCTGTGAATACAAGAAAGAGAATGAAGAAAATTGAAAGTGCTAGAAATAAAGACTCTGCAGTTGCCATTTAAATAGGGTAGAGTGTGAGTCTCACTGAGCAGGTGAAATTGGAGGATAAATGGACAGAAGATATCCTCAGCAGTGAGAATGGTCATTACAAAGGCCCTAAAGCAGAAGCCGCCCAGTAAGTTCCAGGCATAACACAGAGGACACTGGAATATGAGTGGAACAACCAAAGTGTTTAGAAGGACAAGATGAAAAACAGGGAACAGGGAGCAGATCACATAGAGCTTTTAGGCCACTGTAAGAATGTGACTGTTACTATGAATGAAATAGAGGACAGTCTTTCCATCTACCTCCCTCCCTCCCTTCCCTCCTTCTTCTGCTTTCTTCCTCTTTGTATCAAGTTATAGCACTCATACATAGAATACACAAATCTTAAGTGTATAACTTAGTGGATATTTGCCAATATAAATAAATAACCACCACACATTACTGAATATCAACAGCACTGGAAGAGCCTTCCCACTAACCACTCCACCCCACATCCTCTCAAAGGAAAATACCCACTGGCTCAAGTGGTGGAGTGCTTGCCTAGCAAGTACAAGACCCTGAATTCAAACTCCTGTAATATCAAAGGAAGCTGGTGTTCTGTCTCTTATGTTTGAAGATTAGGTTTCTTTTCTGATTTTGAAGTTAATATAAATGGAACCATTCAGTAGGGATGTTTTTGTGCCAAGCTTTTCACTCAGCATTATGCTATGTGGAACAGTAGCTCATCTTTTTCATTGCTATATGAATGTCACATGAATATGGTTTTTTACCCAATTTTCTTTTCTTTTTCTTTCTTTTTTTTTTTTTTTTTTGCAGTACTGGTGTTTGAACTCAGGGCCTCACACTTGTCAAGTGGACCCTCTACCACTTGAGCCACTCTACTAGCCTTCCCAATTTCCTATGGATAAGCATTTAGTATTTTTTTTAGTTGGGGCTACTATGAATAAAAGGCACCACTGGCACTCCTATAGGTCTTTGGCACACACATGTACACATATCTACCTGGGAGTGAAACTGAGGCCTTTTTTGAGCACAGTAGTGATACTATCTGATTTAATTTAGACTAATTTACTTGGGTTATTTCATTGATCATAAATGAAAGTATCAAGGATGTAAACAGAGGCACCAGTTAGGAGTCACAGTGATGCAGGAATTGGTGATGGTGGCTTGGACCAGGTGTCAGCAATGGAAGCAAACAGAGAGGTCCTTGTGAAAAGTCAAAAAGAGCAAAAATAAGGAAGGAGGTCCGATCAAGTAAGCTTTTCTCCAGAGTGGAGAACACCAGAAAATTTTACAGGATTTTGGAGTCTGTACTCCCACTTCCTGCATGGGGGGAGGGGGTGGGGTAGGAAATGTTTCTGTCTTTTTTTCCCCATTTCTCCCCACTTTTATCCTGTTCTACTAAATTTCTTTCGTAATAAGCTTTACTATTATTTTTACTACAAAAATCGTGACAGGATTTTATTGACTTACCGATATGAATTCTGGGATAGGGAACAAACATGGCATTAGGAGCCCAGCCTGGGTGGGCGGGGCGGTGGGCTGGGGCGGGGCTTCACTGCCCGCCATGGGGGAGGACCCCTGGAGCCGGCCTGGCCTCAGCGTGCCGGGGGCGCTTCTCCTCGTGGTGCGGGGTCCTGAGACCTCAGGACCAGAGATCATGGAGGCCGTTCTCCCCGACACCTGCGGAGAAGAAGCCGGGGTGCTGGAGGCGGAGGGACAACAGGAGCCCGAGGCGAGGGTCCACTTCCGAGTGGCAAGGTTCATCATGGAAGCAGGTGTCAAGCTAGGGATGCGGTCCATTCCCATTGCCACTGCTTGCACCATTTACCATAAGTTCTTCTGCGAGATCGACCTGGGAGCCTATGACCCTTACCTGGTCGCCATGTCTTCCATTTACTTGGCCGGCAAAGTGGAGGAGCAACACCTGCGTACACGCGACATCCTCAACGTGTCCACCAGGTACTTTAACCCGAGCAGCGAGCCCTTGGAGCTGGACTCGCGCTTCTGGGAGCTCCGAGACAGCATCGTGCAGTGTGAGCTCCTCCTGTTGAGAGCGCTGCGCTTCCAGGTGTCCTTCCAGCATCCGCACAAGTACCTGCTCCACTACCTGATTGCCCTCAAGAACTGGCTGAATCGTTACAGCTGGCAGCGGACCCCCATCTCCGTCACAGCGTGGGCCCTGCTGCAGGACAGCTACCATGGGGGACTGTGCCTTCGCTTCCAGCCTCAGCACCTAGCGGTGGCCGTGCTCTACCTGGCCCTACAGGTCTACGGAGTCCAGGTGCCTGCTGAGGCCGAGACTGAGAAGCCGTGGTGGCAGGTGTTTAGAAATGACCTTACCAAGCCAATCATTGATAATATTGTGTCTGATCTCATTCAGATTTATGCAATGGACACAGAGATCCCTAAGGCCCTGGCCCAGGCTTGCCCAAAGTGAAGCCCAGGATGGTTGACTGCTGGGGACAGCTACCATGGGGACTGGCCTTCGGCTTCCAGCCTCAGCACCTAGCGGTGGCCGTGCTCTACCTGGCCCTACAGGTCTACGGAGTCCAGGTGCCTGCTGAGGCCGAGACTGAGAAGCCGTGGTGGCAGGTGTTTAGAAATGACCTTACCAAGCCAATCATTGATAATATTGTGTCTGATCTCATCAGATTTATGCAATGGACACAGAGATCCCTAAGGCCCTGGCCCAGGCTTGCCCAAAGTGAAGCCCAGGATGGTTGACTGCCTGGGGATAGTGCCACCACACCGCTGTGAGGTCCTCAGAGGACCAGCTGGGAGGACTGGCTATGCTGCTGGATGTGGGCTGGTGAAGGCGATGACATGTTGTGGCTTTGACTGTCCCCAGCAGGCCTGATCCAGGCCATATCAAGAGCTGTGCCTCCAGCAGGCAGACCAGGAGCTCACAGTGTGTGGCTACTTTTGCCCTTTGAGAGGACTCTGACTGCAACTATGTCCTGATGTCACTGACAAGAGTTGAAGAACAGATGGGACTGTATCCCTAGGAATTCGTTTAAAACCAGACTTATAGAAATTATGAATGTGCAACATAGATGGATTTAATTTTCTGTAATAAAAATGATGCAAGTTAAAAAAAAAAAAGGCTAGCCTGATGTGCTCCAGGATCTTTAATTTCTTTCTTTGGACATTAGGTTTTGAATTACTTTAGGGTCCTTTCCTTCTTTTAGTACAATGAGCTGTTTTTAACCAGTCTTACTCTTAGCTATTAGAAGAAAAGAAAATATTTAAATTTTAATTTACTCTTTTAAGGAAGAACTCATCTTTTAAAAAGAAGAGAACATTTTCACACCCACTATAATTAAAAAGTCAGATAACAAGTGCTGGCAAGGATGTAGAGAAAATAGATCCTTCATACACTGCTGGTGGGAATGTAAAATAGTGTGGCCACTTTGGAAAACATTCTGGCAGTTTCCAAAAAAGTTAAACATAGAGTTACCATATGACCTATTAATTACACTTTTCTGTATGTACCCAAGAAAGATGAAATCATATGCCCACACAAAAACATAAAAATGCTCATAATAATTTTCTTCATGATAGCCTAAGTGTAGAAATAATCCAGTGTGCATTGACTACAGAATGGATAAATAAAATGTGACATATCCATGCAAGTGGAATATTATTCAACAGTAAAAAGGCTGAATTTATGCAACAAGAATGAATCTTGAAAACGTTAGCTAATTAAAGGAGGCCCCTTCCATATAATTCCATTTATATGAAATGTCCAGAATAGGCACATGTACAGAGACATTTCAGAAGTAGGTTAGTGGTTGCCTAGGTCTGACAGAAAAGAAGATAGGAGGATAAGTGGGAGATAGGTAAAAAGTTCTAAAATCAATGGTGGTAATGGATGCATAACTTTGTGACTGCTAAAAAAAAGTCATTGATTTGTACACTAAATAGTGAATTGTATAGTATGTGAATTAAATCTCAAGAAAGCTGTTACCCAACACAACCAAACAGAAAAAAAACTTACCACTTTTTTAATACAGAAAAATAAAAAAGGTTCATAATTTTATCATCCTATAATTTCTGAGGACATTTTGAGATGAAATAATATGTCATTACAACAAACAATAGAGAAAAACACAAAACAGCGAGACCTTTATATCTGTGACTACTGATTTAGTATCCATTATCAAAAATTCCTGGGACCAGAAGTGTTTCCATTTTATATTTTATTTCAGATTTTGGAACGTTTCCACATACATGATCTTGAAGATATCTCGCAGACGGGACCTAAGTCTAAACCCAAAATTCATTAATGCTTTATATGGACCTAATATTTTTAGTGTGTCTGTGTTTTGACTGCAATTTGCTGCATGATGTCAGGTGTAGAACTTGTAGCATCATTTTATTTTATTACTTTATTTTTGCCATACTGGGGTTGAACTTGGGGCCTCACACTTACTAGAAAGATGCTCTACCACTGGAGCCACGTCTCTAGCTTTGTTTCTGGGTTGGATATTTTCAAGACAGACTCACAAACTATTTTCCCGGGCTGACTTTGAACCGCAACCCTCCTGATCTCTTTGAGTAGCTAGTATTACAGCTGTGAGCTACCAACACCCAGCATGGCATCATTTTAATTCTCAAAAAGTTTGGATTTCAGATTTTTGGAGCAGGAATCCTAGACTTGTATCATCAAGATCTATGTCGATTTCCTTTCAGAAAGCATCTTATACATGAACAGTACATACTTTACACAGATAGTATCTTTATTTTGAGCCATATGAAGCTCACACTATTCAAAATACTTTACACTTGGCACCTCCCTCTTTTTTTTTTTTTTTGATAGTATAGGGTTTTGAATGCAGGGTCTAACAAGCACTCTATCACAGAGCGACAGAGCAACACCCCTCCCAACATTTTCTACTCTCCTCCTCTCCTTTCCCCACTTCCTCCTCCTCTTTCTTCTTCTTTTGCGTTAGTTATTTTCTGATAGGTTCTAATGTTTCCCCTAGGGCCTATCTTGGACTGAGGTCCCCTGCCTCCACCTCCCAGGTAGCTAGGATTAAGGCACGAGCCACCACACCTGGCCTTCACTTACTATTCTTTAGAGACCTTTTCATAGAAGCACACAAACAGATGCTCCTCATCTTACGGTGGAGATCACATCCTGACAAATCCATTGTAACTTGACAATACAGGAAGTAAAAATACACTTAATGCATCTAAAGTACCAAACATGACACCTTAGCCCTCCCTCTCCCTCCCCTCTCCCTACAGTGAACATGATCGGAACATGTACATTAGCTTACGGTCAGGCAAAATTATCTAACAGGAACCCCATCTTTATAACAAAACGTAGACATCTCCTGCAATTTATTGAATACCTACCTGTATCCAGAAAATGATGCCAACAGAGTTCACTGTAGACTGTCATTTTTCCCCTTGTGATCACGAGGCTGTCTGCGAGCTGCAGAGAGAGGCTGCTGTTTGGCTCCACTAGTGAGTATTGTACACATATCACTAATCTAAGAAAAGACCAAAATTCAAGATGCAGAGCTCATTTTCTATTGACCGTGTACTGTTTTTGTACTATTGTGTCAACCTAAAGAACAAACAGATGCTTCCAAGATTATGAGTTTACAGGAACGGCAGAGCGTTGCAAGGGAAATAGACATGCCATACAAAACTATAGGTATATCCAAAGAGGGAAAGAAAGACAAGGGTTTTAAAGGTAAAATGAGGAGGGTTACATAAGTTGTTTTGAAACTATTATCTTTGGCTACAAAGATCAATAACAAAGGCGGCATCCATCCAAGTTCAGACAGATAGTTTCAAGGGCAGATGTCCTTGCAGAAGTGTTCTGTGTGTAACATCACAGAAGCCTTTGTGAGCAGGCATGTTTTGGGCAGACTCTTGTGATAGTTCTTGTTATTAAACATAGTACAAGAGGTGCTCTCCTTCATAGCCTTGTGGTTTCTTTTCTTATTTAATATTTTATTTTTGGTTAGGGTTTGACCCAAGTGACTCCATTTTGATTCTGACAACTTTCACTGTTGAAAGGTAAATTAAAAGTTAAACCGGAGGCTGGCTTAAGTGGTAGAGTGCCTGCCTAGCAAGTATGAGGCCCAGTGCCACCAGAATAAATAAATAAAATTAAACCAGGGATATCTTCCTCTTTTTCTCCCTTCCTTATTCCCAACTTGCCTCCTACCCTCTTCTTTTCTACACTTACTTCCAGAGTTTTTCACTCACATGTTATCAAAAGTGAAGGGAAGACCTTTTAAAACTATTTGTGTTGTTGTTGTTATCATAGGAAATCCTACCATAGCTGTTCTTGGTTTTGTTTCTTTAAATTTTTCATGTTATATAAATAGCATCTTCTCATTACAACAAAATAATGCAGTGTGCGAGTGTTCGTTTAATACACACACTGCTTCCTGTGTACCAGGCCTTGTTCTAGGTGCTTTAAATAATGACACATTTAATTAAATTCTTGTAACATCTATGAGTTAAGTATTCCAAATTCCTTTTACCAATGAGAAAACAGAAGGAAATTAGATGAATTTCACCACTAGAAGACAGCCAAGTTAGACTTCAAATCCAGTCCATCTGGAGCCAGAGCTCACTGTGCTCTGTGATTGTCCCAGAGTCAGTTAGGAACCTCATGCCCTGCAGTGACCACCAATGGCCTGGTAATGGTCATTTCTCGTGATCTTTTTGTGTGTGTATTTATGAACAAATGTATATTTATAAAGCTAAAACACACAAATATAGAACACACATACATATATAAAATCAAGTGTTTATTTTTTGGTCATTAGCTGTCACAAAAATGAGATAATAGAGCTGAAGGAGTGGCTAAGTGGTAGAATGCCTAGCTAGCGAGCTTGAGCTCCTGAGTACCCCAGTATGACCCCCCAAAAAAAGAGACTATATATATTCCTCTGTTATATAGCTTCCTCTATTCGTATTTTTAGGTTAACAGTCTCATAAAATTCCTCCATATCAATTAATCCTGTGTTGATTCAACTGCATGATAGTTCTCTAGTCAGATAGATCCATTTTATTAACCATTCTTTTGTTGATCACTTCATTTACAGGATTTTTGTTATCACAGTTACATTAAGAAAAACATCTAAGTACACATTTATTTCATTCTTTCATTTGGTCATTTTTACACTTACTTACATGTATATACATTGTTTGAGCCACCTCTTCGCTCTTCCTCCTTCTTTCCCCGCTTCCAGGCAGAACCTGTTCCATCCTCTTCTCCGATTTTGTTGAAGGAGATAATAAGAAAGACATAGTGTTTTTTGCTAGTTTGACATAAAGATAGCTATACAGAGAGATTCCTACATTTCCTTTTGCATTGGTTCTTTTATACTTAGGGATTTCCGGGAGTTAGGTTGCGCTTTTTTTTTAAAACAGATTTCTGCCAGATTGTTTTCACAAAAAGCTGAATAA